TATCACCACGATACAGGGACGACGATACGATTCGCTACTAAAGACACGACATGTTCTTTAAGTCATCAGTTAGTTTAATGCTAACAACATTAAAAAGAATGGAACCCCCCCACGACCCCCCCCCCCCCCCCCCCATTACGGTTTCCAGTGTTTTGTTGAAAATGAACACTGGAAACTCAGGGGAGAATTTACTTTTTTTCTATTCTTTGCAACTAAAATTAATTTAAGTTTAAAAATGCGCCCGTGTTTCTCAGGCAGCCGGATGTTCACTTCCTGTCTGTGGCTAATGTACATCCTGTTGTACAGAGATGGTGTGTGTGTGTGCGTGTGCACTGCAGTGATAACACACATTCATGTTGTGAACAGAGTGCATCACTTAAGTTTGAACATATTTCTTGCAGATCGTGAAGACCAGTCCATTCTCTGCACGTGAGTTACACACACACACACACACACACACACACACACACACACACACACACACACACACACACTGAACACGGCTGGAAGACCTATTGTGATGACCTCTGACCGTCTGTTGTGTCTGTTGTGTCTAGAGGGGAGTCTGGTGCTGGGAAGACAGAGAACACCAAGAAGGTCATCACACATCTGGCTCATGTGGCCTCCTCTCATAAGACCAAGAAAGACCAGGTCAGTCAACCTGAACACACACACACACACACACACACACACAGTCAGCCAACAGTGTTTGATGAAGATCAACATCTGTCTTTGAACTCCACACCAACTCTGATTTTGTGTGTGTGTGTGTGTGTGAGATCACCTGCTGGTCTACACACACACACACACACGTCTCACTGCTGAGGGTTACTAACGTGTTGCTTTCAGCAGTGGATGTTATTTAGTGCTGGTTCATGGACAGTGGTCGGACCCCCCCGCTGCTGCTGCTGCTGCTGCTGATGCTGATGCTGATGCTGGTGTAGCAGCCACCACTGTCTTAGACTCTGCTGGAAGCAGTAACAGCAGTAACAGTAACAACAGCAGCAGTAACAAAAGCAGCAGCAGAAGTAACAGCAGCAGTAGTAACATCAGTAGTAACAGTAACAGCAGCAGTAAAAGCAACAGTAACAGCAGTAACAGTAACAGCAGCAGTAGTAACAGCAGTAGTAACAGTAACAGCAGCAGTAAAAGCAACAGTAACAGCAGTAACAGTAAAAGCAGCAGTAGTAACAGTAACAACAGTAACAGCAGTAACAGTAACAGCAGCAGTAGGAACAGTAATAGTAAAAGCAGCAGTAGTAACAGTAAGAGTAGTAACAGTAACAGTAGTAACAGTAACAGTAACAGTAACAGCAGTGATAAAAATCCTGATCTTTTTGTTTCGAGGTTGTGATATTTTTCTCTTCATCAACAGAACAGTTCCATCCTGTCACATGTGAGTTAACTCCCATCATGCACACTTCCTCCCCTCCTGCTTCTGTCACCACCTCCTTCCTCCTCCCTCACCCC